CCCCCCCAAAAGCAGCAGCATGCAGAACCAAGAGAGAGCCAGACGCCCGCTTCCCCCGATGCTCCGATTCACTGTTGCTCTGCCATCCCCTCCTGTCAATCATCGAGAGTGACATGTCAACTTGTCCTAACCCATTTCTCAGAGATGATGGCAGACAGCGCTGCCAGCGTTTACCCAGTGATTTGGCTCCACAGGGGTTTGGTTCTCACTGCTCTATTGTTAATCATGGAGTTGGATGAGAGGGCGACTCCCACACACTGACTCATTGGCAGCTCCACGCAGTATTCTGGGACATAATATTCGTCAAAATGCGACGGACAGACTCGCCTCTGCAGAGACACTGTCACATTATGCTCATCTGTAGATCGCCTCTAATCTTATGATGTTTATTTGCAGGTTATATTGATAATGGAAATTAAGTGAACACATATTGATTTACACACTCTCTTAAAGGTTCAGTGTGTAGAATTAAGTGAAATATAGTGGTGAAGTTGCGTGTTGCAGCTGAATGCTCCTCATCTCACCCTCTCCTTCTAAACATGGAAGAGAACCTGTGGTGAACTTCAGTTTTCATAAAAACTCAAAAGGTTTTAGTTTGTCCAGTTTGGACGACAGTAAAAAAAACATGGCGGCCTCCACAGAGAGGACCCTCCTCCATGTAAATATAAAGTGTTTAGATATAAAAGGGACAATTCTAGGGTAAAGAAAACAGCAATTCATACAATTTAGATGATTGCACACCAGTGAAAACATAACTATGATTATTTTGTATTTCTGCCAAAAATCCTTCTCACCTAAATCTTACACACTGCATCTTTAAATAACAAAATATGATATTTTTGTTTACTACAACTATTATTGAAGAATAACCACAATTATTTTGACGTCATTATGGACACGTCCGCTCCATTGTTGATACAAATACATGAAATAACCAAGAGGATTAAAAGAAAAAAAGCAGTTTTCATTTTTTCTTGTTTTTTCCCTGCAGCTTCATTCCGAAGTTGATTTTTTTGTTTCAAACTGCTGTGAGCAGTTACATGCATCAATATGCATCAGTACAATCTTATCTTCACTTGTTATTCATTAAGTTACAGCATAAAGCACAGTGGAGAAGAAATAAATTGGTCAAAAAGTTTAACTTCCAGTTTTATGTCCCGAGACAATGCTGGGCTAAATAAATTTAATTATGAACAAACATTTGACAAAGCTCGTTGTTCTCTCAAGCAAGAAATTCCCTGTTTGTGTATTTAAAAAAACAAAACAAAATACCCTGATTAAAAACATGTCCTGTTTAGCCGACCGACACATGGTGCATGGCTGAAAGGTAATGGAGTCTTTTGAGCTCACTGTGTGCCTCTGTCTGTCTGTCTCTTTAGATAAGGCACCGCACTTCTCCAGGCTCGGAGACGAGGAGGTCAACGCCGGGCAAAATGCCACTTTCCAGTGTGCTGCTGCTGGAAGGGCATCCGAGGCTGAGAAGTTCCTGCTGGAGGTGAGTGAGTGGTTTAATGGCGGCTGACGCGTGGGAGTTTGTTTTTATATACAGAACAGTCAACAGCCCAAATAGAGAAAAAAAAATAGGATGGGGTATTTTTCCATGCTCTTATATAGAGGAGGGGTAGTAGATTAAAATTCAGAGAGATATCTCATTGAACTGGAGGAATTAAAAAGAAGTACTCTTATAGAAAATAAGTACTTTCATTTCAAGTAAATAAAGTGCTTGATTAAAAAACTGAAAAAAAGAAGTTTCAACTTTTTCTTTTGTTATTGAGAGATTTCGATCTGTAAAGGCTAGAAAGGCTGTGCTGTTTAAAAAAGAAAGGCTCTGTCTAAATGTAAAAATTCTCAGTAATTCAGAGTGTTTTAGAGGAACTTCTTTCAGTCCCTGGACAAATGGAAAAAAGAAACAGAGACAGAAAGAGACACAAAATGACTAAATGCTGCTGTGTAGTTATTTTACACCTTTTTACACCTTTTTGCAGTTTGGGTTTATTTGACGTTGCTTCCTCTAGCATAGGTTGAAGACTTAATTTCTAACCACATTGTGGAACTGAAATGTTTAAATGCTGCAACAAGGTTTTTGACACATTATGTGTCCCAGATGTCTGTGCTTAAATGAAGACTGCAGTCGGAGCATGAATACTGTGAAGGCCATTATGGCCTTGAAGCCTCCTTACCTCACTGAAGTGAAAAGTGACTTTATAAGATCATAGTGTTCTCCACTCTCTTTACTGCCTCCTGCTTCTATTCAAATCATGTGCTGTGTATTAGAAATCTATCTTTTTATGCAAAATGGCGGCTCTGTGAAGGTCAGATGGGCCGTGTAGTGGGAATCACTCTGTGGTCTTAAAACCCTCCTCTTTATTTAGCCCTGATGATTAAAGGAGCAAGACAACATTGTGCTGAAGGATTCTTTTTTCATCGCACACTGCAATTACAGTGCAGCCACACATTCAGTGTGTTTGCCAACATCTTACCACCCACCACACCATGTTAATCACGGTTGACCTTACGCAAACCCACTGCATTGTTTGAAAATCAGGAGATGTGTGATTTATGTAATTGAGGCGTCCTCATTCCCACCTCTCTGAACACTTAATCAAACCACCCATTTGGTCAGAACACAAGGATGAAGACAAATGCGTTGGGTAATTAGCTGGCATAACCATACAGGCGTCTGCTGTAATGAGATCTCCAGGCCACTGTGCTCTTTGCCTGCCTCTCCTCCACCTGCTCACCTTCCTCTTCTCCTCTTTTTATGCCTGCTCTCTCTTTCATGCTCATCTTTCAGACCTCTTTTCTCCACATTAACTCAATTCATTGTTGATTTCTGTTTTGCCCCTTTGTGTTCGTGGAGTCTGTTGTACCAGCTGCAGCACAGTCTTGGCTGCCCATGCCTAACAGATTTTTTTTTGTCATTTCCTTGCAAATTATCTTTAGACAGATTGTTTATGTAACTTGAAGTGATCTTGTGTTTATTTCATTTCTCCGGCCTCCTTCCTGTAATATAAAGATACAGAAGATGCAGGGAGGTTACAGGAGTGTGTGATTAAGGTTTCCTTTCCTTTTCCTGCTGTCACATGATTTGTTGCCTGCTTAACCCTAATCAATGGGTGTGTGTTTATGTGTTTGTTTGTGACGGCTTGGCCTGAGGTTTGTGGGGTTCTTTTTTTTTTTGATGGCCCCGAATCAAGAAGCACAACAGCCAAGCATAACCCAGAGGTTCTCCTTTTAAATCCCAGTTTGCTCAAATGCTATCGATTCAGTTAAATGTGGCAGAACAGAGGGATGAGTATCAACATTCATGTCCACCATCTCAAACAAAGAGCACAGCTTGGAATCATGCGAAAAAAATGTCAGCTCAGATGTGTTGAGACTATGTGGATTTGACGGATGTTAGTGGTTTTAATGGTGTGGAACAATGTGACAAATGTTTCCCATGGTGCAACAGCAAGATGCATCATGCAAGATCCATTTGAATCTCAACCCTCCGTTTTTCCTCTTTTTAGTTATTTCTCGACTTAGTCCACTCCAAACTATAATGTCACATGTTTTTATCTTGGTCCGTTTCATTTGTTTGTTTATTTTTCAGCAGGATTGTGCAAAAAGTGCCGAACTGATTTGTGCCAAATATGATGGAGACATGAGGCATCAGCGAGGGCCTAGTCCATAAAATCTTTTGTGTGGATCCAGATGCAGGATTTAAATATTTATGGTGTTGAGATCAATGCATTTTTTCAATCTTGTGCAGATCTAGAAATGAATGTGGATTGGACAAATGTAGAAAGATTGTTTGGCCTTGGCAGAAATATGTGCTCTTCTGAAAGCAGGTTTATATTTTCTTTCTTGTTGATGCCAAGACAAACTGTTATCTTTACCATTTCAATTTTTAGCTAAAATACAAAGTCTGCATTCTGCCATTCATTCTTGTTTTCATGGACATAACTGAATAGACCTCAATTCATTAAATTCCATTTGTCTCCCAGATCTAACTGTTTAATTGCACAATGAGGATGACTGAGGTTGTAGATGGGCTCTGTTAAGGGACAACACTCATGACATGTATCACCCACATAATCACTATTATTTTAAAAAGATTGAATTTGTTTTCATGTCTGATTGTCATATTGTGTAATTAAATCAGAGACGGTCCTGCCATTCTAATTAAATTACACACAATTGGACAACCCTCCTTTTTAATCACATGTATCTAATAAGAATGGACCCAGAGAGCAATTATTTGTATATGAAGCCTTTGCTACATTATTAGTTTAGAGTCCCAGGAATTTACTTGGCAACGAGTTCTTATAAAGGCAAGGTAGAGTAGTGTGTGTGTGTGTGTGTGTGTGTGTGTGTGTGTGNTGTGTGTGTGTGTGTGTGTGTGTGTGTGTGTGTGTGTGTGTGTGTGCCTCGTTAACATTCAGGGCGCATTTTAATACCATGTGTGTACAGACTAACTTAGCAATGTCTGTGATTGGATCTCTCTCGATGGATATGAATATGAATATCAGGTATAGAAAGGGCCAATCATTCTTTGACTGTCTACAATGTGGGCGAAGGTAGCTGATAATGGGTCTTAGTCAACTAGAATGCCACGAAGAGAACTTCATGAGGAGTGCAGGGTGCGTGTGTGTATACATGACATTTGTTTTTGTCTGTATCTGTTGCACATGATACCCTTTATGAGATGACATCCACTCGTTTGTGATCGTGAGAGGGACATGTTGACACGTCCTGTTCTCTCTCTCACCCTGCCCTTTTCCTGCTTTCCAGAGACACAACGGGGACATTTTAACAACAGCATCGGTCAAGCATCTGAGTCACCGGCGCTTTGTGGTATCCTTCCAGCTCGACAGCATCCAACGGACAGATCAAGACCTTTACCGCTGTGTCACTCAGTCCCCCAGGGGCTCCGGGGTCTCAAACTTTGCTGAACTCGTCGTCAAAGGTAAACACTCCCTCTCTCCTTATGTCTCTTAATGTTCTCGTCTTCCTCGCCCTTCACTTTCTTTCGCCCCCGAGCTTCTTTTTTTTTCTCCTGCTGTTATTATGATAGCGTGTGATTTTCTGCTCTCCCTGGTCACGGTGAATTACTGCCTATGATTCAAGATGAATTAAAAATGAAACTGATCATAACAAACAATAATGGACACACTAGTGTGAAGATTTCCTGATCCCCCTCAGGACATCATCTGTGCACAACAGAGGGTATTATAGACCCCTATTTCAAATTGATACAAAAAACTCTTTAATCGCAAAGTGGGCAGCGCTCGACGCACACACAGGCTCTTCAGTCGGCGAATGCAGCGTCTCTGACACGTATTGTTTTCTGAGCTGCAGTTGTCAAACAGGCTGCCACACTCCGCTCCTCAGCTCCCTGTCAAAAAGCTGTTCACTTGACTTGGACTCCTGCAGCCCCTGTCATATCATGTACCACAGATAGTGACCTCACTCCCATTACTCATTCCAACCCCACAGCCTGACACCACTTTGACAGCATAGTAATGACATGGTTGTGGGATGGTTTGTTGGCATAACGCACTCCAGGCAAAGGGAAGACGAGGAGGGCAAATAAGGATGTGAAAGATTCTCATCCTCCTCGTCCTCTGCTGCATGCTCCCCCGGTGCTGTTTTTAATGCACCAAGTAAATCCCTTTTGATTGATAAGGAAGCATGGAATCTGTTTAGCATTGTGTGAGAGTCTGGTTTGGTACAGTTCAAAATAAAGTCCCTTTGCCAAAGTGCTACCAACCCAGCAGCTGCCAGTAAACTAGGAGTCAACAAAAGCTCTGATAGAAAACCATGAAACCCAGTTAATGTGCTCACACTCCCTGCAAATAAGTCCACGTATAGTTTTCGCTTTATACTATAATAGGGACAAAGATTTTATTTCTGGCAAAGCACATTCTGCATCTCGAGTAGACGAAGCCGAAAGTCACGTTCTAGTCAACTGGCTGTGACTCTATAATCTATTTTACAGGAGCTGAGACGAGTCCTCAACGAGACTTTCGTAAATGCCTTTCCCCCCCATCGCCCCGCTAAGAAGAGCCTAATCAACCCTTTAATGTGTTGGATCAACTCATTTCAAGACCTTAGATTGCAGGCAGGAATCAGGATGAAGCTCCCTCATTGCCCCACAGAGGAACAGAAACATGTCCACACAGTGAATAAAACATTTTCACCTTCCTCCCAAAGGTGCTGCATGTGTCTGGCTGTTGTTGTGGCCTCAAAGTTGTTGAGTACATTTGATGGTTGTGATTTCAGGGATTTTCAGCCTATTAAAGTACAAAAAAAAATCCTAAATCAAATAGAGAGTAGCACAGACAGTGGTTTTAGAATAGCTGTGTATGCTGAGGGAAACGGTTAAAAAGACAGCTAGTAATATGCTCCAAAAAAAAAATGAAGTTCAAAATAATAAGTTACTTTCTAAATGAACAGAAAGTAACCTGCATATTTACAAGACCCGTGAACTTTAACAGTGAAAGAAATGAGAGAGTCATTTAACATTCGGCCCCACTTGCTGCTTGCCTGTGGCCCAAATTTGCCCTTTCATTATGGGTGGAGTTGCTGATAGAGGAAAGATGAGCTGCTGCAGGCAGAGTCGAGGCAAAGCGAGGCAGTGGAGAGTAGAGGTGAGGTGCTGGTTATGTTGAAAGCCCACAGAGAGGCGGACCATAAAAGACAGAGGCGCCTCTGCAGGAATGAAGGATTAGTCACAGCCACAGATTTAACTCTGATCTTTTTCTCATGCTTTGTCCTCGTTTCTTTTGCATTCCCTTCCCTCCTGCACGCTGTTGTCTGTGTAATTGTTCAGTGGCTCAGTTCTGCCTGTAAGTGACATTTGACCGGTGGGCTCTGGAATTAATCTTTGGTTTGGCAGTTTTTACCGACAGCGATGCAGAGTGTCCTCTTTCATGATGGAGACCAGCTGTGTGCACAGAACAGTCGGTTTCCGAAGAAGAACACTCAATCGTTGAGATACAAGGATCAGACACATTCAGCGCGCTGCATGCACAGCTGTGTTTTCACTCTGTATTTTGTTCAAATTTATGTATGCCTCGTTAATATGTATGACTAATCTGCTATTTGAACACCGTTTGACCTGCTCACATCGTGCAGTCCCAGCAGACACAGTGAGCTTTACAGTGACAAATCCGTTTGCATTCAGCGGATGAGTAGAATTAATTAATGATAAATATTCTTTATTTAAATGGAGCTTTTCTAGTTTTTGATGACCACTCAAAGTGTTATATAGTACATTTTGTCCATTCACCCCTTCACACACACACACACACACACACACACACACACACACACACACACACACA